GGCCTTCCCTCTGACACCGTAATGAGAATGTTATAGTCAATAGTATCGACCGCCTTTGAGAAGTCTAGAAAAAACCGATTGTGTCACAAGAGTTATCAATTGCACAATTTTATTAACGAGTGTTAACATAGCATGACTTGTGGAATGTTTTTTCTAAATCCAAATAGAACATCACTAAGTAAATTGTGCTGTGTAAGGAAATTTATAGTTTGTGAATACACATTTGTTTCTAATATTTTGGAAAAAGAGGTAATTAAAGAAATTGACCTGTAATTTCCCCGTTCACTTGAGTCACCTTTTTTAAATATAGGTATTACTTGGACTCTTTTCATTAAAAAGGTTACGTCACCACATATAAAAAAGAGAGTTTAAATATATGGGTTAGTGGGATGACTATTTCGGAAATAACATGTTTAAGTAGTATATTCGATATGCGATCATATCCAGTGCTCTTTTAACTCTTTAAATTGTTAACAATATCAATAACCTCTACCTTCTGTAGCAGGACAAAAAAGCAGGGTCTTTAAAGCATGCAACCTTAATCTCTTGAAAATCCTGCTCATCACTGTTTCTATTAAGTACATTGTTAAATAGCTTCCAAGTGTTTTTAATGTCATTTCTATGAAATTCAAATTGTTTAAAGAAGTTGTCTTTTTTTGGCAGAACATTAAGTAATAATTAGGGTATTTTTGTATTAGTCTTATATTTGTTTTCGTTTGACTCCGTTGGCTGAGATTAAATTTGTTTAAAAAAACGGAGCGTCTCAGTGCATGGAATATTCTGATTATCAAATCCTATGTTAAAAGATTCCCGTGCATGGAATGTTTAGGATGGGCTCTCGAGGTGTTAAATATATCCATTAGGAAGAAAATTGATAAAAGTGTGCGACGTCAAACAGGAAATATCCTGGATGCGTATCTGGATAAACTACGTTTTACGTCACGCATCCCACACAAACACACGCACACTGCAACGCTTATTGGTCCATAATACGAATGTTATTGAGGTTAACCCTCAAATTTTTCAATTTTTCTGATACTAGTTGTTATAATTAATTCCGACAGAACTTTCGACTTGATGTTATGTTCAGCCCTTTTGATAATGATAATAATAATGGCAATAATAATATTACTAATAACAATGATAATGATAATAATTACAAACAAATATAATTATAATGATGATAATGTTGGTGATAATGATAATAATAGTAGAGATAACGATAAAAAAATAGGATTGATAATAAAAATGCTAAAATAATTCATAATATAGTAATAAATGATGATACCGAAAATGACAATGATGATAATGATATATGTCATAATAATACTAATAATACTAATAATAATAATAATCCGTTTTTTTTATATAGCGCTCAATACACCGAATTAACGATGTGTCTAAACGCTTTACAGATATATTTTTACCCCGGTCATCGGATTCAGGCTTATCCGCACACAACGCACACAATTTTCCACTCCTTGGGGGAGCATTTCAGCCAGTCGCCATTTTACAAGCGCACACTTGCTCGTCCAACCACATGAACTTTCGCATCCTACCGGGTACCCATTTAACACCTGGATGGAAAGTAGCAAGTGCAGGTAAATATCTTGCCAAAGGATATTAGTGCCGTGTCGGGATTCGAACCCTCGACCTTCGCATCTACAGTCAAGCGCCTTAAACCACTCGACCACGACACTCCCTGTACTGTAAACTGTAAATAATAATGAAAGCTATAATGATACTGATAGTATATGTAATTGAACTGGATCGGATCGAATTGAATTTATGTAATCACGGTAAAACTCACATCAGCGTAAAATATTGTTTTTTTTCAGCAAGCCCCTATTACAAACATCAAATAGATCATAAAGACATCAAATTGAATATAAATACATAGGAAAATCAACTTAAAGATGACATATATATATATATATATATATAACGCAGTGTAGAGAGAAAGCTGATATACAAAATGAATTTTGAACATTAACATAATTTGATATAAAAAGTATATATGAATGGAAAAAGAAATACAAAAATCAAACAGAAGCCGCTGACGGTATGGTGTTACCATCTCAATGATAAAAATCCGAGAATAATAAGAAATAATATCGGATAAGATATGAAATCTAATACAAGTATAGATAGTATGATTCATGGGGTGGACAGGGGGACATGTCCTCCCCTTCCAAATTTTCAAGGGTAAGGGACACAATATCACATGTCCCCCATGATTTTATCATAAAGCTCAAGTACTGCACTGCGCATGACCAAACCCTGTGTCCCGTTGCTCTTGGCACACACCTTTATCCTGTTTTGTATAATGCGAGGGCAAGTCTTATTGTTGTATTTCAAATAAAGCGTAAAATAATGTTGAACTCCACCTGCAGGACCAGACGGTCTGAGAAGCTAAAAATGCAATTTGTGCAATTTGGTATTATTTATTTTCTGTTCTCATTTTTTACTGAAAATTATTCGTATTTAACTAGTAAATTTTTATAATTCAGTCGTAATATAAACTGCTTCCTGAGAAGAGAATTTCCTGTCTTCTCTGTTTGAGAATGATTCATGTGGCTCGTCTCTGTATCTTTTCAAGTTGTTCAACATGTCCTCGATTGTGATTAAACCAGGTCAGTAGGCCATATTCAATAAAGGGAGAACGAGGCTTTTGTACAAACACAGCAGAGAGTCACAATATAGACATCTTGGTGGGAACCCTTTGTTGTTTGAAGGCTAGCAATTATTTGTGCGTAAACGTGGAAAGAAACACATAGCAAGAAAATAAAAATAATTAAAAAGCAAACCACACGTGTTTTTGTATCGTCGCTTACAAAAGTGACTACACATTTGTGTTCGTGTCAACATTTCACTTTGATAACAAAAAAAAAAAAAAAAAATGAAACAAGCTTAAAGCCATTATTTCCTTTTCCATCAAGACTCAAGGAAAGTGACAGATTCGTGCAAAATGATCTAGAACATAAAATACGCCTCAGTCAGAATAGAGTCAAAGACTATCTGAGAGGCTTATTGTTTGTGAGTTCATTTGTTATCGACCTTTATCTACCCTGGGCTGTCAACAATACAGTAATGCACTTGAAATTTTATGTGTAGGCCTATATTTTATTCGAAAAATTAATCCATGACACAGAAAATATTTTGAAGTGCGTAATAAGAACTTGCATTTGTATTTCATTGGTAGATTAGGATAGAATGTCTCTCTATTTCAAGTGGAAATATATGAACTGAAGATGTTTTTTCTTCATCGGTAATATGAAATAGACTGAGTATCTTGTAGAAATGGAATTAATGATCTTAATGAAATGTTATCATACTAACCGGTATGGTACATGGAATGTTACCTTGTATATCATTGTGAGAGTTTTCAGAGTTATTATACTATTCAATATCTAGATGGTTATTTATTACTCACTTACATCAACTTTATTTATACTTTATATAATATTTTATATAGTTTCATTTTTAAAGATTACAGCCATGACTTACAAGTTGCCTTTTTTTGTTTTGTCTTGTGTCACAATACAATGGATGGACAGTCGATATTTGACGAAAGTGATGAAACAAATATCTTAAAATATAGCAAGACAGTATACTAAAACTTTATGTTAGTAATTATGAATCGCAAGACAGGTACATGTAACTAATTTGAGACTTAACTGTTATCAAGACACTCCATGGAATAATAATTACAATCAGAAAGCGTGTATGGCAAATGTGTCCCCGAGTCTTTGTAATAATGACATAAGATATTTCCCTTTCTCGGAAACAAAATCCATTGGGATCTAGTTAATGATTTTCTGTCAAATATTTCTATTCTATAAAGTATGCACCATATCACGCCAAATGAGTTGGAAATTCAATTTTTTTCGACTTCTGAGGGGGCCACATCCTCCCTTTAATAGACACCCATGACGCATTACTTCATATTTTACTCTATTGTGCCCCCCCACATCTTAAAAAGGATTGACGCCCTGAATATATCATATTATGGGGGATCAAGTATTACCTTTTAAAAGATCTTTTACTGTAGTTTACATTATATAACGTTTTCATTTGTGAAGGGTTTAGATTTGGAGAAAATATGTAGGAAAAGTGAAAATATTGCTCAATGTGATTTGTGTCTTCAATCTATTGTTTGTGAGCGCGCCGATTTTCCCTCATTTGTCCTTACTTTCGAAACGTTTTCATGAACAAGACAAAATTGAGTTCACTTTTCTCAAATTAAAGAAATCTTAAGATTTCACCAATGATTTAAAGTTGGACAGTCCTTTTAGAAAAATCGCACGTCTAATCTCATTTCCTCTATTTTCACCGATGCATCATGTATTACCTTAAAGGAAAATATTCAAAATATTCCAATACACCGGTATGCATGAATATCAGTTTGTTTGACTCTCGACTCAATTCCCTTTTCCCTCCGATTTCTGCTGGTCTAACCTCCTCTTTGTAGAGCTTTTGCAATCATTCCTTTTCCTTTTCAAAAACTTGCCTCCCCCCCGTTTTTTCATTAAAAACAAATCTTCTTTCCCAAAATTAATAATTTCTCTATTGTTACAGATTTTTAAACTTTAAGTTATTGATTTTCTATTTACACTTGTTTCCAAGACGTATTGTTAAACAGCCTATGAGCAACTAATACTTCAACAAGCTCAGCTTTTGGTGAGCTCCCCTTTTCTCGTGCATTTACTATTATATTGTCTTGTTTCAATATATATTTTTTGGTAATATACTTATGTTAAATTGCAAGCAACATTGTTATTTTCAATCTTGAATCTTGAATCTTGAACAAAATCTTTTGTATCTTTTGTCTATTTCCTGCATAAGTGACTGATTTAACTAGAACATACACGAACGTTATCTTTTAAAGAGCTAACTGCTCAATCAATTTTGTTTAAAGAGTCGTTATCATATTGAAACAAGCTATTTATACATGATACCATCTTTTGAAATTTCCAATTTTAATGACCCGATGGCAATCCTCAAACACTGTCAATGTCAGCTTTCGACATCGAGATGTTCTTTGACATGTCCATTTTATCAAAGAGCGGGGCATTTTTGGCAGATTTGCAGGTGAACATGTCCTTAAGAGCGCTTCTGAACTCAGGATACCTTGCCACATAGATGATGGGATTGGCGCAAGAGTTGTAGAAACCAAGCACGGTGAGCATACGATGGAGGGAGCTGTTCAGATAGGATTGAGGAACCCAGCCGAGGTTGTAACCGAGGTAGGCAATCTGGTTCGGGGTCCAGCATACGATGTAGATGATGATGACGGTCAGCATTAGCTTCAGAACGCGATTTCTGGCCACGATGTGGACTGACGATGCTTTGTTTCCGGCATGGGTGATGTCTTTGAAGCTGCGGGATTGTTGGCTGAGATTGCGAGCAATAAGAATCTGGCTGACGAGCATTGTGAGGCAAGGGACGGCGAGTCGGAGGCAAAACCAGTAGTAGGCAATGATGGTTTGCGCATTGGCGAATGTGTACTGTTCGGTGCACTGGTTTGTTGCGTCGTCTACACCGTACACGATGAAAACGAAGACGCTGGAAAAGACGGAAAGGAACCAAATGATTACGATAAAGATCGAGACACGACGTCGAGTGATAAGGCGTTTGAAGTGAAGGGGGAAGATCAGTGCGATGTACCGTTCGACGGATATAGACATCAGCAGGTAGGTGGAGGCCGTGATGGATGACCAGAGTAGGCTTTGTGTGAAGACAAGTCTGCAGTAGACCTCACCCAACCAGGTCTTAGGAATGTACGCCGGCCAAGGGATGGGTACAAGGAACACTGAAGTTAGAAAGTCCGCACAGGCTAGGCCGCCGATCAAGGTATCCGTCGATCTGCTTAATCGTCGACGCTGAAAGAGAACAACGATCACAAGGAAGTTTCCGACGATGCCAACAATTGCAGAGAGGAGCTCCAGAATGAGTACCCATGACCAACTGATCGGATACCAAGAAAAAGCCACGCTTTTTGCACTGTCATCAACCGATACTTTCTGAAGTGTGGTCAGCGACCATATAGGATCAGTTGTAGATTCGTAATTACTCCACCATTCCCACTCTCCTGTCGTGATCAGCTGCGTCGCATCCCTGGTCGAGGACAGGTATTCCGTAGTGCCATTGCCCCAATCTCATCTGCAGTATAACCATCAGGATCAGATGGGGCTTCTGTCCGCAGTTCCGCGTCGTCACCCTGGCTAGTATTGATGTTTATTGGTGGTCTTTCAGTGGGGTCAGCTACGATACATATGAACACTGTGGCTTTTAGCAAGGCGAACACGATCTGGTGGTCCTCCTGAACATTTTAGTCCTCCTTTGATCAGAGTTGATTTTGACTTGATCTGGAAAGAGGAGAGAGTGTTGCATTTTGTTTAAGAACATGGAAACTTTCTATTTCAGCAATTAAAGAGCCTGTGCTTTTTTAATGTATTTTTGACAGGAATTTGACGCCATGTATTTGATGCGATAATTATTATTATCATCATTATCATCATCATCGATTTATTTTTCCATTAAGACCGGTATCCCGAATCATTCCGGTGCCTCCTCAATTGGTGGACTTTCTCTAATTTCTCTATAAAAGGAAGAGTAAAGATGATTGGTCAATAATAGAAATAGGGAATATTCTGATCATTATAGAAGTACTTTGAAAATGTTTAATCTCGTTGATGTTGGCTGAGATGCAA